CGTGTTTTACTACAAGTTCTTCTCCTGGAGCGACTATACGAAAAGTATAGTGAGGATATATGAAAAATCAAACGAAGGCGAGGCTGTCGGTTCACGTCACCTGCACTGGTTTTACTGACAGCTGTTAATGTGAATGTCAGAGTCTGACTGAAAGGTGATCGATAAGAAACCATAACAGGTATATACATGAAACCACCACCCAGTGTGAGCAGCATGTGCTAATGGCTCGTGTGCTGCTCCCATTACTTCCAGTCCGTTACTCACCAACCCTGAACTCAGACTGAACTGGAAATGTGACACAAAGGCAGTAAACATGCTGCGTTGTGTATATACGCTCAGTTTGTTGTGCACTTTGTGTTGTTGTGCTTTATGTGGACAAAGACACCTTCAGTTCTTCTGTACTCAGATCAACTTGCAGCGTATGTCCCCAAACTGCTTTTTATCTAATCCGGTACAGATGGTGGACCTTACGAGGGTACTTCAAAAAGTTCTCAGCCTCTCCCGGAAATAAGCAGCTTAGCTCCTATTTTGGGGCATAACTGTATACCATAAAGCCTTATATCACTGCTCACAAAAGCTCAAAGAGAAAAGAGGAGGAAAGCTCTGGCTGCTCTTTCTGGAGGACAATGTGTCCGTTCACACAGCATCAGGTGGCAGAAGCAACTTTGAACTGTTGCTCCATGAAACTTGCTTTACCTGCACCCTCTGACTTCTATCTCAAACTGAAGTCGTACTCGTGTGGTCACCATTATTGGACTGATGATGAGGGCATCCAGGTTTCTGGGGTACACCTGGAAACTCAAGATGTGACCGTCTTCCACTACGGGATAGCAAAGCTTTAATGAAATAAAGGAGACGATGCTGAAAAGTAATGCAAGAACGAGCTTTCTCCTGTGACGTCTTCTAGCGAGGCCGAAAACTTTTTTAAAGAACCCTCATAAAGGCTGAAAACCGTTCACGCTCACAGTGGGCTGCAACAGTCTATCCCAAAACTACCTTTAGGTTCAG